AGCGCTGTCCCAGTAATAATTCCCCCACAAACGAGACCAAGCTCCGTCTTGAGGGTCAAATGAAGTTCTGTTTAATGGGGGCTACCTGCCCGGTATTTATGCAGGTCTCCACAAGGTGGACACTCCCTGAGGGGACCTTGTGGAAGACTGTAAAACATATTGGACAGTAGCCAATCGCAGTGGCTTCAATAATAGCCCTTCTCATCTGGCCCATAATTCCGTCTTCTCTACCTCGGAGATAATTGGGAAGAAACCTAATTATCTCTCAAGGTAGAGACAATCGCCATCTTGAAATACAATAACAAAAATACATTAAAATACATAACGACAGAAATACCGAATGCATATGGTTCGTGTAACGTATCCCCAGACAGCCTGGATCTGAGGGCATGTTTTCACCGAACAGCGCTCAGATCCGATGTATCTAGTCGAATCGCCATGGAGTCAAAGTCTTTCACCAGTCCTTCGGTATACGAATGACTCCATGGGATGGCTGTCGGGGTAAAAGTCCATACGAATGAATAAAACTCCCGAACGACCGACGTTCGCATGCCTTGTCGAAAAGGAAGGTAGGCAGCAGCTTTTCAGCGGTGTTCGGTAGTTTAAGTGTCCGTTTTTAGTTCCATACAGTTTGTACCGAACACCGCTCTGTGTTCGTATGTCCCAAAATGGCCGCTGCCTCGTGGTCGACATGCGAACGACGACCACCCGTACGAATGGAATGGAGAGGTGTCTGCGGTTAACCACAACGTTCTAATTGGGGCCAAGAGGTTAACCAGCAGCACACTCCTCTCCTGGGTGGTCGTTCGTTCGGTAGTTTCAATCGGCATTTTGCAAATTACACGAACGGGGGTATATGAACAGGCAATTCCGCGAACAAAGGGAAACAGACGAACCAACAATGCAGATGAATCTGTCACACGGCTCCCCCCTTGTGGGACACTCCGGCAGACCCGGCTTGACCCTTTAGCGGGTCAACGTGGGGATGACCGGACTAAGATGGGGTGAGGATGTCGGTTTGCCTGGACAATCCATCTGCGTTCCCATTCTGCTTACCGGGTCGATAAGTGATGGTGAAGTTATATGGCTGTAGTGCTAAACTCCACCTCAGCAGTCTGCCATTGTCTCCAGAGACCCGGTTAAGCCAGACAAGGGGATTGTGGTCCGTCACAAGGTAAAATTCCTGTCCATATAAATACGGACAGGAATTGCCCACACCAGAGCCAAACATTCCTTCTCCACTGCCGCATAACTCACTTCCCTGGGTAACAGCTTCCTGCTGAGATATGCGACAGGGTGCTCTCCTCCATCTTCCCCGACCTGGCTCAGCACAGCCCCCAGTCCATACATGGAAGCATCTGTATGGACGAGAAAACGTTTGTTAGGGACTGGGGCAGCCAGGACAGGGGCATTCACAAGAGCTTGTTTGAGTGCTTGGAACGCAGCTTCACAAGCCGGAGACAACAGGACCTGCTTAGGAAGATTTTTCTTGGTCAAGTCAGTCAGGGGTTTAGCAATAGAGCTGTAGTCGGGGACGAAGCGTCTATAGTACCCTGCTGTCCCTAGGAAGGCTAACACCTGGGTCTTGGTGATAGGTGTGGGCCAGTTGGCAACTGCCTCTATCTTGGCTGGCTCTGGCCTCTGGCTCCCACACCCTACTCTGTGACCCAGGTACTGCACTTCAGCCATGCCTAAATGGCACTTCTCTGGCTTCAATGTCAGGCCAGCGGCCCGAATCTTGTCCAGCACCACCCCTACATGTACTAGGTGTTCTTCCCAGGACTCACTGTAGATCGCAATGTCATCCAGGTATGCACAAGCAAATTCCTGGAATCCATCAAGAAGTCTATCCACCATGCGCTGGAAGGTAGCCGGGGCATTCTTCATCCCAAATGGCATGACCTTAAATTGGTACAGGCCAAATGGGGTGACGAAGGCCGACTTGGGGATAGCATCCTCGGCCAGGGGAATCTGCCAGTAGCCTTTGCACAGGTCTATGGTGGTCAGATAGCGTCCCCTGGCAATGCGATCTAACAATTCATCTACCCGGGGCATCGGGTAGGCGTCAGTGGTGGTCCGCTCATTGAGACGCCTGTAGTCCACACAGAACCGGGTGGTCCCATCCTTCTTGGGCACCAGGACTACAGGCGAGGCCCAAGGGCTATCGGAGTGTTCGATGACCCCCAGCTGGGTCATCTCCTGTATCTCCTTCCGCATTCCTTCCCGGACTGCTTCAGGGATACGGTAAGGGGGTTGTCGCAGAGGGTTCTGTCCAGGGGTTTCTACCTTGTGTACAGCTAGGGTAGTGTAACCAGGTTCTTGGGAGAAGGTCGCCTGCTTTTCCCACAAAAGCTGTCTTGCCTGGCCCTTCTCGGTAGCGCTCAATCTGTCCCCTAGCTGTACTAGGCTAGTAAGATCCGTCTGGGGGTCCCTCTCTAACAGGTCTGGCAAGGGTAAACTTTCTGTATCATCTGCAGCAGGGGCACATACTGCAGCGACATTCTCCGGTCTCTCCTGATACTCCTTTAGCATGTTCACATGGAAGGATCGCTGGATCCTTTCATCTGAACAGCTGGCTATAAGGTAGGTAGTATCACATATCTGTGCTAACACCTTATACGGGCCCTGCCAAGATGCCTGCATCTTGTTCGCCTTCACAGGTTTGAGCACTAGTACTTTCTGCCCAACCTGGAAAACTCGCTGTCGGGCACCCCGATCGTACCACCTCCTCTGTCTCCCCTGAGCCACCTGGAGATTCTCCCTTACCATTAGGGACAGTTTCTCCATGCGGTCCCGGAGTTCCAGAACATATGGTACTATGGGGGTCCCTTCCTGCTCTGTCTCCCCCTCCCAGTGGCCTCTAATGAGATCTAGGGGTCCGCGGACCCTTCTCCCATATAGCAACTCAAAGGGGGAGAACCCAGTAGATTCCTGGGGCACCTCTCTGTAGGCAAACAACAGATGAGGCAGGAATCGCTCCCAGTCTCTGCAAGTGTCAGAAAAGGTCCTCAGCATCTGTTTGAGGGTGCCATTAAATCGCTCGCAGAGACCGTTAGTCTGTGGATGGTAAGGTGAGCTAAGCAGCGGTTTAATACCGCACACCTTCCACAGTTGCTGGGTGAGCACAGCGGTGAATTGGGTTCCCTGGTCAGAGAGAATCTCTTGAGGGAACCCGACTCTGGTGAAAATCCTAACCAGGGCATCAGCAACTGTCTCTGCCTCTATATTAGACAGCGCTACTGCCTCTGGATAGCGAGTGGCATAATCCACCACGGTGAGAATATATTTCTTACCGGATGGACTAGCCCTGGCCAGTGGACCCACAATGTCAACGGCTATGCGGGCAAAGGGCTCCCCAATGATAGGCATAGACATAAGCCTAGCTCTTGGGTGGTCCCCCCGCTTTCCTATCCGTTGACATGTGTCACACGTACTGCAGTATGTCCGCACAGCCTGATTGAAGTTTGGCCAAAAAAAGTTCTGCATGATCCTATAGGCTGTGCGGCGGGAACCTAGATGTCCAGCTAACGGAACATCATGCCCTATCCGCAGAATCTCCTGCCGGTATTTCGCGGGCACTACCAGCTGTCAATTCGGCGGAGGGGCAACACTCTTCGGGGAAAGCTTGGGGATCCTATACAACCTGTCCCCCACCCACTCATACCGTTCCCCATCTAATCCTTCCTCTCCAGTATCTGCTCTGTCCCTATACTTCTGGAGGGTCGAATCTGTCTGAGTTTCCCTCCCAAACTCCTCTGGGGAATCCCAGCTAACAAAGGTCGGTTCTAGGGTACCAGTCGGGGACTCGGTTCTTACCTGGGTCTCAGCAGCAGGTGGGCTGGTTCCAGCAGCACGGGTCTGGGCACGGGTAGTCACTGGGTTGATAGCGGCAGGTCCCATTGGAGCATAAGCGGACACCAAAGGGGCCAAGTCATTGCCAAGTAAAACATCGGCCGGTAAGTCTTTCATGACCCCCACATTCACGTGTCCAGAGCCCACCCCCCAATCCAAGTGAACCCGGGCAACCGGTAAACGGAACACTGCACCTCCCGCCACCTTCACTGCCACAGTATCTCCAGTGTGCTGGTGTTCTGAAACAAGGTTCTTTTGGAGCAAAGTCATAGTGGCTCCGGTGTCTCTCAGACCAATTACTGCTTTGCCATTCAGTTTAACGGTCTGTCTATGCTGTTGACGGTTATCCTGCTGCGCTGCTTGCACTGGATCCGCCTCATGTAATATACCCCAAAATTCCTCCTGCTCCAGACAGTGAGCGGAGGGCTGGGGTGGCTGCTGATTTCCGCCGGCTGGTCTTCTCCACGACTGGGCTTGGCTCGAATTGTTTAATGGGCACTCGGGTCGCTTGTGCCCCAACTGCTTACACCCGTAGCAACGGATCGCTGAGAGTAATCCCGGGCGTTGAACCGGGCTGGCTGAACGTAATTGTTCGCTGTTGGCATGGTGGGGGTGCGTTGTGCTGGGTGTTGATACACTGCAGAGGTTGGAGGGGCTGCTGGTTTGTACTCCACTCGGGTAGGGACCTTGGCTGCTGTCTGGTCCAGTTTCCTGGCGTCAGTGTACTCATCAGCCAGACGAGCAGCTTCGGGTAAGGTAGCGGGTTTGCGGTCCCTAACCCACTCTCTGACTCCTACAGGTAAGCGGTCAAAACAGTGCTCCAACAAAAACACTTGCAGCACCTCTTCCCCAGTTACCGCTTGGCACCCTGCCATCCAGTGGGCTGCGGTGCGGTGTACTCGGCATGCCCACTCCACGTAAGAATCACCAGCCTGCTTGTTAGTGTCCCGGAATTAGATTTAGCGGTCATTAACGTCTTCATACCAGGACAGAGGCTGTAGCAACAGGGTTGGAAACCAGTTGAAAAAAAGCAGTTGCGGGGGCGTGGCCTGGGCTCCGGTGGACATGGCTGCCTAACCACGCTGCTCCACTCCACAAACGCATTAAAAACAGTGATCCACACTAAAAAACGGCACATACCCGCACTCATGGGACGCACCAGGAGGGCTGAATACCCCCAGACCTCCAGGAACACCTCTTCGGGAGAGCTCTCTGGCCCGATGGACGGCTACCTCTGCACCCCGGCTGGGCCCACGCACAGGACTCCAACGTCCAACATGGCGCCGACCTTGCCTGTCTCCACATGCTCCAGCTCCGACGGCACGACACTAGCCGACATCGTTGCAGAATTAAAACATATGGCAATGTCCATGGTCACTAAAGATTACCTCAATCACCTCTCCTCCACACTACATGAGGCAATCAAAATGAAAGTGGCTGGTCTGAAGAAGGAGGTTAAAGCACAAGAGGCCCGCATCCTACAACTGGAACAAAGGGCACAGATGACTGAAAATCACTCCACAGCCACAGCCCTAAAACGCCAAGGAGCACTTCTCCTAGCCATGAGACGGCAGCTGGAGGACCAGGACAGGCTGCCGCAATAATATCAGTGTTAAAAGAGTGCCTGAATCCTCAGAGGGGGAAAGTGTAGAGGAGGTACTCACCTCCCTATTTTGCATAATCCTAGGAGAAGAAGCACCAGCCCACATTAAATATGACAGGGCACACAGAGCGCTGCGGCCGCGACCCACAGAGGGGACACCCAGGGACAAAATCTGTTGCCTACACTCTTTCCCCCTGAAGGAACTGATCATGGCGAAGGCTAGGCCCAGATCCTGTTTAGAAACTGGGAACAAATTCATATGTCTGCATTTTTATTTGTTGCCTCTCCCTTGTAGCCCATGGAGCAAACACAGTTAGGGGAATGGGCCTTGACAGGGCCAGAAAGTAGGCAAGTTTTATTAATGCTTGGGGGGCAGGATTTTAGACATGTGATTATGGAGGCGGGGTCTAAGAGAATATAGCACAAATATAGAGAGTGGCCATTTTAATTTACAACTTACACTAACCTGTTACTTGTGGCAGGCTTGTGTGTGTTGTTTTTTCCTTTTTTCGTTCCAGATGGCGTCCTTGGAGGAGATCCGAGCTGGTGTGCGTGCAGCAGTGAGAGACCAGGGGATGGCCTGGTTGCAGGAGCTGCAGATGAGGAGCGAGTCCTGGGATGGTGCCGGTGGCCAGAAGGCGCAGAAGCCAGTCACTTAGGAGTGGTGAGGCCGGAGATCCGGAGTCAGTGAGGGGGCCGGCCGCGAAGGGCAGCAGGCCCGAGGCCTCTGGCGCAGAGTACGCCTTACCGCAAGGCAGCTGGGGGGGCTCAGGTGGCAGGATGGTTGAAGCCCTGGG